TACATTTTTTTTAATAAAAATTTAAATTTATCACTTATAAACAATATTAAAAAGCAAAAGTTCTTAAACGTAAAACCAAACAGGCCCTTAATTATATATGTATGGTTATGTGAGTTCTTAATTCTTACTACTCAAGCTTCTGTTGTTTATCCCTTAGTCTGTGCTCAAATATACTATTTAAAATATGTTCCCCAAAAAAGAAAAAAAAAATTACCATCGAAAATGAAACTTGCATGCAATGAAGATTTCCACGAAAAAGGGAAAATCTTGCATGGAAGATTCAAAAAAGGTAAAAGATGTAATAATTCAGACAGAGACATGGAAAAACTTTTCATGTAGTTGGATGGATGGATCATGTTCTTTCATAAAAAATAGGTGAAGTTCACTTAAATTTAATTTTTTTATTAAATAGATATTAACTCTTAATTAATATTTATCGTGTCAAAAAAAAAAACAAAAAACAAAGAAAGACATGAAAAAGCTAGTAGGTTGAGGGCTGGCTCAAAAGTCTTCTATGTTTCATCCATTTTTTGAACAGTGTGAATTGGATTTGAACACATGGATATTTCTTGGAAGAACATATGACATCTTTGATTCAGTTAATTTATCTCAATTTTTTTTTAATAAATTCGTAAAATATCGGATTCAAACCTATTATCTTAAAAAAAATACATTTATACGTCATCTTACGTTATTGGATCGAAACCCAAGTGCGCAACTATTGTTCTCTTTATTGGCACGTGGTACAAAGGTCATTCCAATCAAAAGATAAACATAAAACAAAAAGTCTATCACTGATCGGCTAGTGCCCTGCTCGTAGGGGCAGTGTTTAGGATATCAAAATTATGGATTCAAGGTCCACCACTCACTCCCCTCCCCGAATCCTGCACCCCCAAGTTTCCCCCAGCTCAAAAAAAAAGAAAAAAGAAAAAAAAAAAAGAAAACTTAAAACAAAAGAAAACCCAGGAGATTACCTGAATTTTGAGTAGTGTTTTTGGTAGAGTGGGTAGTGGAACTCAGTGATATCAAGGAACGATGTTCAGAGTTGTTCTACTCTTCGTGCTTGTTATATACATGAGAATCAAAGTTCAATCTCAAGCTGAACCTCCTTTACCACCAGATTCTGAACGTAGAATCTTGATTCTTGAGTTGCTTGTTTCTTTAATAAAGCATGTATATCTGTAGAAAGTAGAAAATCTGCCATCGCTTGAAACTTAAGTTTCTTGATTGTTTGTTTTCAGTTGACGCTCTTTCGGAAATATCAAAAGAACTGGGGAAAGAAGGTTGGAACTTCAGTGAGAATCCATGCAACAAGATGTCAAGCTGGTTCACTCCATCGTCACCACCAAATGTGGCTGATGCTCTCTCCAACAGTTCTGTCACCTGTAATTGCTCCATCCTTAACGGCAAATGCCATGTTGATGCCATGTGTGTACCTTCCTTCTCTTTGCAATTTTCAGGACTCAAGGATATATTCATCAAACTGACAGTTCTGTTTGCCAGTTTTTGACAAAATGACTCAAGATTCAGTTTTCTTTTCAGATTGTCTTTTATAGTTTACGGTTTACATGCTCTTTTTGTAAACAAAGCATCATCTTTGGAAAATTCAAGACCATACTAAAATTGAAGCTTTAATGGGCCTTTTCTTCTTGGAAATTAAAACAGATATCTTAGAGGCCAGGATCTTGTTGGTCTGCTACCACGATCAATCACGAAGCTGCCTTATCTGAAAACAATGTAAGGAAAGCTTGATGTCATTTAGTTTCCACTTTAAAACAAGAAAATTAGTGCATGAGCTTATGTTGAGATGCAATTTTTGGCCATTGATTTTCAGTGATCTCACTCGAAACTACCTTAATGGTACAATACCGCGTGAGTGGGCTTCTACTAACTTGGAATATGTGTAAGCAACACATGCACTTCAATGCTTCATTATTCTTGAATAAGAAGAAACTGCTTAGTTGCAGTGATGTAATGTAGGTGTGAATTGCTTTCAGGTCTGTGTCTGTAAATCGCTTTTCAGGGCCAATTCCAGACTACTTGGGAAATATTACCACTCTCAGATATTTGTATGGTTTTGATCCATTTCTTCTACCCTTACTCCTTTTTTCCCTGCAATGTTTAAAATAACTTAATCCTTCCAGGAGCCTTGAGAACAACTTTTTCTCTGGAGCCATTCCTCCTCAGCTAGGGAAATTG